ACCGGTAGCGTGCCACAGGGCGGTACACGGTAGCTCGTTCATTTTGATTGGCTACCAGGCTACGCTGTATCTTTTATTCGTCGAACGCTCTCAAACGCTGTGCCTCCCTCTCGACTCGTTTATTCTTGAACTGTAGTTGCTGATATTTATTGGCAAAATTAATCGCAAATAAAAATTTCGACTTTACGATTTAATATTCTTAGAAATGAGTTAATTACTTAGAACGAAAATTTTCAGTCTTTATCAGGAATCGAATAATTCCCATATCCCATCGTTTTTAAAACTAGCCCTTCTCCTCAAAGGGTCCATTTTTAACGAATCCACGCATAATTTAAATTCGTTAATTTTTTCCTCCCTTTCATCATTCCAAAATAAATTGTTTCAAAATCTCCCGAATTTAAACTTGATCTAATTAAATATACGAGACTTGTGTCTTAAAAAGCCTTGTTGGATCAACGTCTCGATTCACCATGCCACCTCACCTCCATGCCTCTGATTCCATTGGACGTGGAGGAATCGTAATAAGAAGTCGCCCTTCCCGGACAGACAGGCCCTTCCACCTCGTTACTCTCCATACCGGGTGACCACGTCGATCCAGAGGGTGTGGTTCCGGTTGGTGGATTTGTGTGGAGGATTCGGTAGCCGACTGGCCGAAAACCGGTAGTCGCTGGTAGGGCGGTGCACGGTAGCAGCTCCTCTTTGGTTGGCTACCGGCGAACGAACGAAGGCTACTGCTCCCTTCTTTATTCCACCATACATACGAGAACGGGTGCACGCACGTCGACCGAGCTTCTTCTGGTTGGCTCCAACTCAGTCCTCTCTTTGATTGGCTGCTTCTTCATCCGTGCCCTCCGTCCTTTTGCTCGCGAGGGACCGAGCGTAAACGCGGGGGCCTTGCGTCTTCGTCGGCTGTCGCGGGGATCCCTTTCCCTTTCGTCAAGGAGCGGCTCCTCTCTGAGAGATCGGGACAGGAGGCTTCCCTCTCGAGAAATCTCCTTCATCTTGCAAAATCATCTTGCGGAAACTTGCACGTTCGTTGGATGCGAACTCGGGCATCCCTTAAAAGAGACTTCGCTTGAATCGATTGCTCTTGGTTAGGATGCGAATTTGTGAGATTTGAGATTGGAATGTTTGGACAAATTGACGAGCAAAGTCAGCTTTCGCGTTATAAAGGGAAATAAAGTTTTTCTAAATTTTCTAAGCGTCTTTCCAGACTCAGGATAACTATTTCAGAATCATTCGTTTCAGAATCAGTGTAAATGAGAGAATTTTAGAGGGAAGAGTAAAGGAGAATAAAGATCGTGAAAGTTACGTTCGATGTAAATTCACAGAGACTTCAAGAAACGGATATATACATAAAACACAGTTAACTAACTCGACCTTCCAAAATTTATTTCGCTCACGAATATCGCGTCGGATCACCATTGTATTCGCAATAGTTGGCAAAAGTGTCTCCGCCTGGTAGAAAAGAAATTTTATCCATTACCCTATGAGGCTACCTAAGAAGCGTCATTTTTCCATACCGTAAAACTTTCCACGTAAACCGTATTTATGCGAATCACGAGTTTCCACGTCCGATCCGGGACGATATGTTTTCGGCGGGATGACAAGTACGGTACACGGTGCCCTTACCCCGGCTGGGACGTGCCCGTGTTCACGAGTGAGACACTCGTGTTGGCATCGGTGTTCTTAGAACGGCGACAGCCTGATCGAATTGCAGCACGCGTGTCTAACAGGATTAAGAAATCTCGGTTGCCCGGTTCAACGCTACGATTGTATTCACCTCACAGTGCCCTAAACAACTCCATTATTCGCCGCGATGAATCGAAATCGTATTTTACGATGTACAGTGTCGTGACCGGCGCGAAGGACCGGCCTGGAAAGGCTATCCATATTCCAAACCTTGAAACGTACACATTGATATCTCCAATTTCGATGGAAGGGAAAAGAAATGGCTTTTTTCACTCGATCGGTGGTGGATCGACGATCGACGGTGAAATTGAACCTTGAAAATGGCTACGTAACTTACACCGCGTGGGTATACTCATTCGCAGATCCCTTATTACGAGATTGTAACCTCCATATACATCGAATTATCATACATTATCATACATTAGCTTTGACCTCGTCATAGACGAACTTGGCAATAGTGGTTTCGACACTGTCGATTGTTCGTGGGGAAATTAGGCGAGAAGGAATTGAAATTGGGGATGGAAAAAATTGGGGAAGCTTGGATGCGTGGATGTATTATTAATCTGTAACGTGATGTCAGATGTGTGCAAGTCGATTGACTGCAGAAAGGGCAAGTGCGCGAAAAAATTTATTTACCTGGACGTCGGTAGAATTAATGGTATAGGATTTCAGTTCATCGAACGTCAGGGGAATAATCTATCAGTGTCAGCAGAAATAAGTAAACGACAGGTAGACCAAATACGAAGACCTATTTATTCGTTCGAAAATAATCCTATATATAATTCCAAAATTCGTTTGAAAGTTGCCAAGTGACCAAAATTGAGCCATAGCTACGACATAGTTTCAAAACAGATTCTAAATAGAATTCTTAAGTGAAGATCGAATAATAGATCGGTGAAAAAGCACCGAATGAAAGCCATTCGCAACTTTTATTCCTTACCTCAAAAATCACATTCTAAAAAAACTAACGAATTCCTTTATTCAAACACGAATCGTATAAACATTCCGCCAAATAGATCGAAACAAACTCCATATAAAACGGTGTGCAAAGGGGTTACCGTGTATAATAATAAATCGTGAAACTTGATTGGGGACGTAGGGAAAAAATTTTGCTCCAATAAACGCGCGGGCCCTCCGTCGCGTGGCCGAAAAATGTTGGTCCAATGAAGGAACGGGTATGACGGGCCCACAAATCGCGTAGCGCGGCTGCGGCCGGGGCGAGACGGAGAGGAGGGAAGCAAAAAGCGGTTAGAGCAGACTGCGTGCGTAACACGCGGCTCCGATTAGGCCCCACCGCCGTTAGGCAGCCTAACCAACCGGGATACGCCCAGCCACGCTTATTACTCATTCGGACACGCCACTTTATTCGAGCGTGCGCCGTGTGCTTACCTTGCGCTACCAGTAGCACCTGGACGTGGCTCCTGCACAATGGCCGCGGCGGACCGCGCGATCAGACCCCGGGGGCCTTTTTTATTGCCGCCTCTCCGCTCCGCGGGACCCCTCTTTTCGACGACTCCGCCGAGCAATTCCTTCGCCGTTGCGCTCGTTTTTAACGTGGTCGCTTCCGATCCTCCCCTCTTTTCGACCAACATATTTCGACGATGCCTCGTTTCGTAGCACTTCGCACTTTTGCTCGACTTTTGGAGTAGAAAGTATGAAATAATACTCCCGTCAATCGACACTCAAAAATCGAAACTTTATTCGAATCTCGTTTGATATTCCTTCCAAGCTTTTCCTCCTCCAGTTCTATAGGGATAGTTTCAGATAGTTCGTTCAGAGTTCGTTCAATTAATTTCGGAAGAACGGAACTTTCTTATCTTTATCATTCACGACTCGTACCAGGCTCAACTCAGATTAACTGTTGCGAGTGCTGTCGTGCGATTAATCAAATTGCGCGCAATAATCGCGTAATCGTACAATTGCGACCGAATTTATTCGAAAAATGCGGCGTCACTTTGTACGATTGCAAAATCACAAATCACGCTCTATTCCCCTCTAC